CCCAGTGACATTTTGAACCAGCTGGCAGGTTTTTGTTCTCAAGAGCAGCATTGTCATTGTCCCTAGTTCTTATTTTATGCCTCCACCCCAGGGCACTCCATGGCTCCATGACCTCCACCAAGGTCTGGTCTTTATCCCCCCTGGCTGAGCTCAGAAGCTGGAAAGCCCCGGCAGGCGAGGACAAAATGTCTGTTTCCACGATGAGAAGGAAAGGCTGAACGGAAGATTCCAGGAGGAAGACAAGGTGAGATCTTCGCAGAGCAGCAGCCAGCAAAGACCTGACATCACCTCCAATCCTGACTCTGCCCTTTGAGGACCCACCCCTCAGATTGTCTGGGTGACAGCCATAACAGGGACAGGGCTGGAAGCTGACTTCAAGTCAGGCTTTCCAATAGCCAACAAGTTAGTGAACCAAGGAAACAAGAATTTCAATTCCTTTTTTTTTTCTTTGTGATCTAATGAGAAAACCTCTTCTCTTAGGTTTCGAGCTAGCCAGTAAGCTAGGGAATGACTGGATTCTGTAGTAGATTCTGAGTTCATCTGTTGGCTTGCATCCAATCATTTGGATTTGGGATCTGGCTAGCTAGCAAGTTTACAAGCAAACTCTTGGTTGTGGCTCAGTAGGAGAACACTTACCTAGGCCCCGGCATGCACAATGCCCTGAGTGTGACCTCTAGCACTAAAATAAAGCAACAAGCCAGTTCTCACTAAGCCCTCTTGATTTCTCCTTTGAAGCCAGTCTTGGTATTTCAGATAGCAACAGCACACTCCTTTCTCTTCCTGTCTAGTATTCCATCTAGATCAATAGCTCGAAATTTTCCACTCTGCTCAAGTAGATGTGTGGGTTATTTCCTCATGATCATTTCAGATAGCATTATTGTGAACATCAATCACTGCTTTTGTGTTGTCATGAATACATGTGGGCTTTTTTTCTGTGGAGCACATGCCTAGGAATGCAACACGTATGTTCTGTTTTAGTAAACACTACCAAATTCTTTTCCGTTATCAATATGTAAGGGTTCCAGGGTTGGGACCGTAGCACAACAGTAGCACGTACAAGGTCCTGGGTTTGATCCTTAACACTGGGGAGAAGGCAAAAAGAAGGATGAGGATTATGGAAAAGAGAAAGAGAGGTCTCAGTTGCTCTGTGTCTTTGTTGACTCTTAGGTCTGTCTGTGTAGGTGGCTGTACAGTAGTATCATTTTTCATTTGCAGAGTAGACTTTTTTTTTTCAGGGCTGGGCATCAAAACCAAGTCTTCCCCCTGGCTGGGCAAGTGCTGTACCACTGAGCTGCACCCTGGTACTCAGACTCATTTTAAATTCAACTCTACCAGAACTAATGAAATTGAATGCCTTCTCAGTTCTTGTCCATTTGGACATCTTCTCGATAAGGTTCCAAATTAAGCCTCCTCATCCTCCTCCTCTTCTTCTTCCTTTTCTTCTTCAGATTTTGTGCCTTTCCCTTTCTTACTTGCAGGCATTCTCTCAGGACTCTGGGCGGAAGTCCTTCGAAGGGCACATGAATGACAGCTTCTCTACCTAATGGGCAGCCTTTTCACTCTGTTAATCCTAGTTTTAACAGACAAGAGTGTACCACAGCTTTATCGAGCCGTGATCTGGACCTTGAATGTCTCCCAAAGTCCCATATGTTAATGGTTTAGTGACAAACCCGTGATGCAGTGAAATCTTTAGGAGGGATGTGGTGGAAGAAGGGAGGTCACTAGGATATGCTCTTAAAGGAGATACTGGGGCCCTGGCCCCCTCTTCTCTCTTTGATACACAAATACCACAAGGTGAGCAGCTCTACCCACTCTTCTCTACCATAATGTGTAGCCTCCTCACAGGCCTGAGAATCAGTGGCACCAACTGACTACACAGTAGCCATGAGCCACAGTGAACCTTTCCTCGGGTGCTGTGAAAAGGAATGGCCCCTCTAGGCTCATATATTTGAACGCTTGATCATTAGGGAGTGGTACTACTTGACAGGGATTAGGAGATGTGGCCT